ATATATGTATGAGAAATGGACTTGTATTTTGTTGTTGAAGATTTTTAGATATATTTTCTGACATCTAGTTTCAGGATACACATATGTTATTGTATTCACGTCTATGTCTATTGAGGCATTTGCGTACATCTAAGTTTATTCGGTTACAATTCTTTTTGGTGAATTGTGGTGCGTGTTTCTATATCGAGTCTTTCGTTGGAATGTTTGCACAAAATGTATCTATTATACGATACATGTGTATGAGTATCAGGGGTGTGTTCAATTTTCACGCTGCGTTTTGATATCTAAACTGTAGATTACAATTTCGACGTGTACAAGTTCTAGAGTAGGAGAATATACTACTTGACTCGATTCCTCGTTATCCCTAGCGTAATGTGTACGGTTAATTAATATGGGCTTCTTCTCATGCCAATCTGCTTATCTTTGTAATTATATCGTCCATCATGCTAACCGCGAACCATGCTATTGCATTCCACATTCAGATTTTTGTGGTCGTTGTATTCCATTTACTGGTTATCTTGGTAGCTTGGTCATGGATTAGGTCCATTTTTGTGTCACCTGGGGTACTTCCAGTGCGGCATATGAAAAAGGTTGCTTTCAGTTCCCTATCAGACGAGAGCAAAAAGGTAATACTCGGGTCAAGACCAGACGGAGGTCAAGGGCAAGAACAGGTTCAAGCTGGAGATGAGGGGCAGGCACAATCAATGCCCCAGGCCGGTCCAAGTTCCAGTGTAGGGGACGAAGACCAAGCACACACAGGGATAGATACCGAGGCACAGACAGAAGCCACACAACCTGAGACGTCATGGGAAACACGAACCTCCTCGCTGGCACGGACAACCTTGAAATTTGAAGATGCACCGCCAGTGCTCACGGAAAAGACTGAGTGCACTCATAGTATGGAAGGCACATCTGAACCAAGTGCGACAAATAAGGCGTGTTTGGAAAGGTCTGCCGCGACAGATACGCCGATTAAACATACAGGCACACCCACCGAAGTTGAAAGTACAGGTGTTTCAGCGCCGAATACACAAATTATGAGCCATGATATTCCCGTTGCACTCGATGCCAATTCTGCACATCCCCCACCAGCAATGGTTGCTCCTCTGAGTACACCACTCTCTGGGGATATATTAAGATCAGCATCTTCTGCACCGATAGACATGGATGATATAGAAAATTTGGAAACCAAAGTGACGTTTCGCATACCAGCATCCGAGATGAAGCTGGATGAGCGTGGTATGCTGATGTATTTGAAGAATGACGACAACGTTCACTGTCCTGTGCGAACAATTACCGCCGAGCGAGGGGGGGGCGTGAGACTGTGCCGTATTGAGAAACTGGTAAAACCAGACAGAACTCATCATTGTTCCATCTGTCGACGGTATGTATATCCGTCTATCTGGAGTTTGATGCATCATCTTTGCTGCCATCTTATTTGTCAATTAGCGGATATGCAACCAATACACCACCAGACTGCTATTGCGTGGTTACAATAATCGTAGCCCTAATGCTTTATTTGCGAATATTGTTAGTACACGCGAAACAGCTAGATGCCTAGTTAAGAATCTTTCTGATGAAATCCAGTCAGTTTGTAAGCTTCGAGCGATCTCTGCATGTGAGATTTTAGTTTCTGAATATCCATCCTAAATCGAAGCATTCATAACATCCCTCAGGTGCATTCTCCGCTACGACCACCACTGTCCGTGGATACACAACTGCGTAGGCTTTCACAACCATAAGTACTTCTATTTATTCCTGCTGTATATGTTTCTCATATGCTGGTGGGTATTTGGAACTACTCTGCCATATACTATTGAGTGGTTTACGTCAGGCAATCTTAGTGATACAAAGGGAGGGACGTATCCGATTTCCTTATCTCTGACGATTATCGGCGCTATATTCGGCATAATGGTGACGGGTTTATTCTTCTTCCACACCTATCTGATATGTGTCAACAAAACAACTGTGGAGCAGAATTTTGCACCGAATTTCACTGTGAGTAGTAAGCGAAGCAATGTCTTTAACCTGGGCGTGTACAACAATTGGAAGTATATTATGGGAGATAAGGTTTGGCTCTGGTTCTTACCACTCGACGGTGGTCGAAGTGGTGACGGCCTGGCGTATCCACTGCCAGAGTCGAAAGAGCTAGCATAACCAAATAGTGCAGTAACGAATAAGCCCAGATTGTGTATGTGGTTTACACACAGAGGCGCGCCAGGCTCTAAATTAGACATAAAAGATACAGTATATAGGCTTATGTGCGAGTGCTCCAAATCACTTGTGGAATATAGATAAATTGAGGAGGTAGCAATCCCCGATTTCGAATTTGAGACGACCGTGGTGGATGCAGTAGAAGCCACATTTCAGCCTTCAGGCAATTTGAAGACGATCCGGTGTAGATGGCAATGATATATCGCAAATAAGAATCAAACGACACGCACGAATCAGGGATTAGATTGCTCCGCGGGGTCGGCAACGTGTCTCGATCTTTGAACGAGATCGCAAAAAGGCTACATGGCGCCGTGCAAGGATTAAGACAAGAACTATTCAATCCCGAGTATATGATTGAAAATCGTTGGATATTCAACTTGGTGAACAAATTATAGAACGAATGCAGTAGAAAACAATTTGCAATTAACTTTGTCAGGGGAAATATCAAGGTGTGAATTCCTACCAGTGGAAGTACGCACTTGGGGATTTAGAACAATATGAGTGCGCCGACAAGTTTTGACTATCTACGATACGATTCGAGCGGCGTGCGGTGGGTATTGATGTAACCGTATTTGTTTCGATCTTCTATGGGCTTAAAGGCCACAATAAAGCTGGGTGCCAGGGATGCACACAGAAGAAACATCACCAACGGTAGCTATGCCAAGCTATATATTGGATTTACGTCGTTAACGTGAGGCTTTGTGACCGCCTGTGTTCTCCTCGATGACAACATAATCTATTGTGGTTGGTATATAAAATTGACCAATCATCATTCGCATTTATATATGAGTTATGAGTTGCTAGGTTCTAATTCTTGATATGATTCGATAAACATGCGCGTTGCAGTTGTTTTGGAGGACGCTCTCTGGCGCTCAGCAATAAGCTGTCGGTACCTGTGCACCGACTAGCACGTCTGCACACACAACGAAGGGGAAGAAGCTTCGATCGGTCGGATGCGGCTAAGCCGCTTCAGCTTGTAACTCTTTGAACATTTGGCAACAGAACGTTTGACGCATGGTGCGGCACAATTTACCGGTTGTCATAGCAGCGTAGATGGCGGCCAGAGTAAACGTATTCGTTTCAGCCCGTGAAGCAGAAGTGCTCAGGACTTGATATCAAAAGAATCAGTTCTCTTGTAATACGCCAAGTTCAACGCGCATATAATCACAGTCAGGGAATCTGACAAGCTTCTCGAATTAATGGATTTTGAATGAACCCCGCGGCGAATTGTATTATTCTCAAGCATCCATTGGAGTTATGTTTGGGAAGTGCACACCGTAATTTGGACAAAAGTGTGTTCGCAATTGAGGTTCAATCGTCTCATCGTATCATAGGCGTTCGCGTGATCGGATGGGTGACCTTCCTCCGCAAGAGGTTCACTGTGAAACCTTCGCTCAAATACTGCAAACAGCCGCATCGACAGCACCAATACACTATTTCGTGGAGTTAAAATGGACTTATCAGCGACGTAGCTCTCATTTTGAAAGAGTTAGCATCAAAGTAAGTACCAAAAACGGTACAATCTTGCCACAGCCGCTTGATGGAAGAACAATTTCGCCCCCCCTGTCGGGTATGATACACCGACACATAGTTTACCAGTCGAAGACATCACCCGCATAACAGTACGCAAAGTCACGACGCGCGACCGAAATGGTACTCTTTGCCCCAGCTCAATAGCTCGCAAAGTCACGGCCATAAACCGTGCGAGTATGCAGCTACAAAGGGCACTGACGTCTGACTGGCACCGAGGCATGAATAAATCAAAGGCTTCTCCAATTAAAATTCACAACGCTATCGCTCGCGAATTCAGAGAGGATCCGCGCCGCCAATCGATTTTCGCTGTCTGATTGCGACGTTGTACCGATTCAAGACCGTTTGGAGAAAGTTTGCATAGCAGATCCTACATCGAAAGGAGAAAAAAGATGTCACAGTTTTCGTCAATACTAGACACGAAGCTATATAGACCTCTTGACGGACAAAAAGAAGAAAAAGTAACATAGCAACACTCTGGCGACAGAACTCACCCAGTCCCCGATGTCGTCGTCCCCATCATCTTGTCGAAAAAGCTGGTTATGCCACCTGGGTAGCGTCCATCACGCGTGCACGCACAGAACACGGCATGTAATCCCAGCCGATCCTGCAGTGCTAAAGCAGCCAGCGCCGCCCAGTCATGGCAGCCAGCAACCAAACACAGATCAAGCAGATGCCTGCACACCAATTCGCTGATAGGGTTAGTGGCGCTGCTATTTATACCACGATGTCCGTCGAGCGAGCATACAACATATAAAATTGACAAGGCAGGAAAAAAAAGTAGACTAAATTAGGCTTAAGGTATATTCGATAGCCGTACCTTAATCCTCTTTTGGCGTCGTCATCAAAAATCTTTATGCTTTGAGGCGCCATTGACCGTGATCTCTGGATCGCTGCAGTCCCAGCATTAGAAGCGCGCCGTCCACTTGTGATGGAAATACAACAGACATACACCAGGTTAGCAAGTGAGCACTGGAGACTTAATACTAGGCAATAGGATTTCGCTATGGGTAACGCTACAGCATCCGTTTCTCATCGACAGTGCATTTGAAAACTGCGGATGTGCATCGACGTGGTGACAGAACATAACTGTAATTTCTAAGCTCAAGTGCAATGCCCATATAAGCACGCGTGCAGCGCGATCCCACCTCAAGGTTCTCCAGCTCTCGTCGTCTAACACATGATGGCCCGAATTCGCACCCAAACCAGTCATTGCGCTGATAGACTTCGCCCTCTGCACCGACCTAGCCTTAGTCGTCGCACGAGCCTCTGTCATAACATCGAACGCAACAACCGAACCAGGCTCGCGAGGATCGGACGACTCCCGTAATCGCAGTTTTTTCACAGCTCCCACTAAGCTTGTGGCAGCATTGTCCGCGTTAGTCGAAGGCGTTTGAGACCGTGACACTTGATCAGCCTCCGTGACATCGGTGACTTTGCCTTGCGTTTGCGTATTCGTGAATGGTTCCGGGGTGGTGCTCCGAGAGGACGGATTTGATTTTATACTTGTAGGGAGAAAGGGGAGAATGGATCCTCCACCAGATCGCCGCCGGGTGCCGGGCAGTGGCCAGTCGAATTGGTCGTGAAGGTTATGAAAAGCTGCCGGAAAGTCTGATACGAGCGCATCGCGATGCCTAGTAAGTGATGTAGAATGCACGAGTTAATTAGCCGATATCACGGAAACTAAGGCGACAAGACTTTACTACACTTGTATCTAGGAAGGGATATCTGAGTTAAATGCCCTTAACGAAAGCTTTGCACAAGTATTAAAGCCGGTATAGAGTATCACACGGAAGAATATGAGGAGCAAACTTACCTTTCAATCCACAACCACCTCCTCAACGGAAACGCAAGATTCCGGGCGAACACCAGAAGGGCCCTCATCTCGTAATTACGCATTAGTTTTCGAGCGTGTTGCGACAACAGTACGTTGGTGTAGAACTGATAGAAAACACAAAGGGAGGAGCATAGTATCAGCCAAATGTGGACAATGATACCCGCCAGCGAGGGCGGCGTTGCTTTCGAGCAAGTTCAACACATCTGCACTCCATTTTTTTTGCATTAAGCTGATACGAATTCCGTTAGTCTACTTCCACAAGTACTAGAATGAGGGATGTGTAGGGCTAAAAAAAAAAGCTGAGTAATGTTCACAATCTACTTAACAAATCGAGGCACATAAAGGCTTGCAATCTTAGCGGGCGACATACTCTGTCCGCTGATCTGATGAGGTTGGTCTGCGTCCCCACACTCCGCACACCATCGCCCTGCACATCCTGCGATATCGACTCGGTACTGGCCATCAGATCGTCCATGCTTGTACCCGTCTCTACTTTTTTACTAACGGACTTGTCCACAGTCTCAACATTCGCCTCCAGCGTCATATCAGTAATCACGGATGCTTGGCGTGACGTTGCGCTAGTGTTGGATGAGGTTGGTTCATCCCTCTCGAGTGAGCGTGGGTCATTCTGCGAGTTGGATCGCACGGTGTTTCGGCGTGGCATGGATGTGATAGATCCGGGAATGTCTCCGCGGAATTGGGTGTCATGTGCAATGGACGATAAGAATCGCATCAGCTCCTTCGACAGTTCCCAATGGTCGCTATCCAAAGCGGCGTCCAGTAATCGGGTTGCATACTAAGAGACAAACAACAGGCGAGCGGAGTAAGTGCACATGTCCAGCAGTGAGAAAAATAGGTTTGCCAGTTAGTAACGGTTGGATGTGAGATCTATCGCAACACGCACAATGTCAAAGTCATCCCAGGTGAAGATATACAATGAACAATAGAAACCAAGGATCAGAGGACAACCTTTACCAAGAAACTAGTACATCTTCAAAATGCTACCAGCACAACTGTTGCAGAAAGTCTGGTTCCATTGCTTCAGTAAATATTCATGTATAGTTGCCAGTCAATCTTAAGCGTACAGAGAAAGCCAAATGCAACCAAAGGTAGACTCACCTTGCAACTAGCCACCGGCGGCTCTAAAGTTTGCAGAATAACTAAATATGAGGATGCAGTGTGTAATCGCCCCTCGTCAATGCAAGCCTGTGAAAGGTATTGCGGCGAATGTTTAGCTCCGGAGAAATGTGACATATACAGTATACATAAACTCATCAGAAGTCAAGTGAGATTCGAAACCGCTCCAAAGTGAAATGACCCGACTGGTAATCGAGGACACACACCTCGAAAAGTCGTTTCGGATTACCAACGCGTGAGAATAGGAAACTCCATAGAGCTACTTCCGTCTTGCGTGCACAGTGCGCAATGACCTCAAGGTACTCAGGGAATTTCATGACGAAGTCAATGACCAATGGCAATAGCTCATCTGCGGAGTATTCGAAAGTCGAGATTAGAGAGTATACATGTAGGGTGCAATGTGCGCTTGGGGAATAGGACGGTATCACATGATCAAACCTACCGTTTGTTCTCAGCAAAAAGAGAAGCAAAAATCATTGCAAAACTTTCATCCACGAGAGACTCAATTGCCACGCAGTAGAGGTACACTTACACTCGGAAACTGCAAGATCGCTGGAGTGTTCATCTTCAAGCACGTTGTGCAACATGAGCTCCATCGCATGAGAGAAATACGGCATCGCATAGCACTGTTGAGCAACGCGGTAGGCATCGCCATGTAGTCTGTTATAAATTCGAGACACAATGAGATACATGGGATCGGTTCATTCTGAAGGGACGGGTTTAAAGAAAGAAGCAAAAATGAGAGATTCGGCGAGTGCAGATCTCGACCAGATGAGCTTACATCAAAAACTTAAGATAGACAAGGTTTCAAATTGAAACCCAGTGGACCAAAAAAAAAAAAGCGTACCTGAATTCCAGCAGGCGGACGAGGATATGATGAAGATACATTTGAGTCTGTCGGCAATACCCCAAGTAGGACAATTAGTATACAAAGGTATAAGAGCGAATTACGTTGCACAATATACAGCTTGAAACGGTATTTGAATTTAAACGGTATGAAAGTATGATGTGCGCCATATTTTGCGCATGTATGCATGATTCCATGGGACAGAAAAGTCTGAAGACGTAGAGTAAACATTCTGCAGTAAACAGTGTATGCATACCAAGCCAAGTCACATATACGTCTAGCCGGTGCAGCATATCGCATTCCACGTAGTTTCGAAAGTGCTCAATGTAGACATCATTGGGGCACGAACGCATATACGACGAGCAAAGCAAACGCGGTGAAGTACCAACCTTGTGCTCAAAGGTGGAGAATTGAAAACTACTCATATGCGAATTTGATTCGTAGGAGGTATCAGATTCTATCCCCAGGATGATGGCTTTGTTTTGGTATATTACTGTCGGGTTCGAGAGCGAAGAAAATTGCGCGTCGGATTTAGTTCACGATTGAAATACTGGCACGGTTAGAGGCCTTCGCTGACGCACGCCGAAATCTAAAGTTTGCCTACAGATTTTCATTCGAGGAACAACTTATGAATTGTAGCATACCAACAGGGTAAAAATCGGTTCTGAATTTGAGCATGAGCCTTTTTGTGTCGCTCTTCTTGACCCCTTCAGTCGGCATCCACGCCTAGAGCGGAGAAGAAGAATCGAGCAATTTCAAAAACAAAACAAAACAGGAAACACTCATCGATCTTAAGATGCACAATGCCATGAGTATTCAGAAACATGCTCTTGCGAGGAATTCTATAGTTAATACGCAATAGTTCATAATACTGAAAACACTACACATACCCGTACACATGTTTACATACACTCTGACGCATACGCATATCATCGGCTGTACTCACAAACAGGAGCGTAGTACGGAAACGGCGTCAATGTTTCAATTCCATCCCGGTTCGAAGCTATCAAACTTACCTTCATTTGGCCTTCTTTCGTATACATATAAATAGACGCCGGCAATCCAGCAGGAACAAATTCGCTCCGGGAGGGAAGCCAAACCCCTTCCACTCCACTAGACAGTAGACAGTGCTCATTAACGGCAAGCTTTGAAAAAAAAAAAAAAAAAGGGAAGATATCAATCGGAAGTTGTAAGTCATACAATCCATGCTGACCAATACAATAGCAAAAACATAGCAACCAAACGAAATTCGATTGGTTTGTGATACTGAATGGGCCAATCACTGACTTACAGACTCAGCGCCCGGAGTAAGGTCCAAGGGCAACATGTGCAGCTCGCCATGTATGACAATCAGGACTGATCGCACTCTTTGATTGGTGGCAGTCCGGCCGATGTGTTTCCGATGGGACAGCCCATCTTCATCTGCAATAGTATTTCGGCACAAATTCAGTACTGGATGGGATGCCATGGCTTCTACGAGACATTTTAGAACTAATAGGAGTCGACTGGAACGTTTGCATTGTACAAACCTTGGGATACAAGAGAGCTTTTCATGCACGCTCGGATTTGTGCCAAATTATGGTACTAGATGACATACCTTCGTCGCGACCAACAAGCGAGAGTGCGATATATGAGACACCGAGGGGATAAGGGATCCATTGCGTAACACTCTCAGTTAGTACGATCTCGATCGTATAGTCTGAAAAGGTTGCGTAGGAAAGAGATTCAATGCAAAGAGGTTGAATGTTGAGAATCCGATTGCGAAATCTTTCGGCTTGCCAGGAGTAGCGACTTCCTTTGGCCGATTTGACATGTATTAGCCAAACACTGAATATTATTTTACATACATGACATGCCACCGAATTTGAAATTGAACCGATTAAAATAAGACGAATACTCTCACCTTTTGCCTTCTTACAGATTCGATATAAACTGATATACCTACGAAAGCGATAAATTTGATGAATCTCGTTAATATGTTTATCGATGACGAGCAACGACTTCTAATATACAACTACTTACTAACCAGAGCAAGTGCTTTCTCTCGCATTGTTAACGTCCGAACAAGTGTACATACATACCTATCGGTGGTAAAAGCGACAATGTAGTTCTCAAAACTATTGAGCAGCGAGATGGGACAGAACGATTCCAGACGGGCGACTATCGAAGACTCTTCCAGAACTTTTTGGCAATCGTATAGTCGTATCTGCATACAATCAAAACATTGAGGGATGAAAATGCAGTCAATAAGAGTCAGCGATACGGTTTGGAGATTAGTGTTTGCGATCTATTCGTGTATGCAGCTGGTCGACGGTGATTTGGCCATGTAGCGATTGGACAGCAACTGCCGCCAAATGCATACACTAAAAGCACGTACCTCTGAACAATATATTATAATGTCGGAATACTTCAAAGCGATACACGTAAAGCACGTGCTTCTACGAGATATCCCAAAAGGGTGCACCACTGACATAAGAGCACATACCTCTGAGCGACCATCAGCTGTCGAAGGCACAATCAGCAACGAGCCAAACCACGACAAGCCGCCCCGCACTGTAAAGCTCTGCTCCATGCGCTGATTGCGAAAGAAATTCCACTTTTCTCTGCTGCGATCATAAACAGCAAATCCCTTCTTGCCCGCGACGGCTAGGTGTGTTTTAGCAGCGTTGATGCTGGCGTACTAGAAAACCAAACGAGAGGGGTTGTAAAGAACTATGCAAAAAAGGGTTGATTTGGTGTGCACTTCTATGGGTTGTTGACTACACTGATCTATTAGCGTTGTAATGCTGTTTTACTGTATATAAACTAATTGTGCTCGGTTGTGAGCGTCTGGACACGAATCCCGCAATTAGGATAGGCAATACACAAAGTAAGACTACCTGAATGGGCCAGTTCTCGCCTATATAAGTCATATCGACCTGTATGACATTCCAATGTAGTTCGCACAATTTATCCAAAGAGCCTTGCACCCAGGATCCATCTTTGCCACCAAGACCTGAGGAGATTGTAGCTATATTCGTTAGCTACCTGCAACTTACTCGATTTGAAGTTTGTGTAATATATATACACTCCTTGACTTTACCAGCGCACAGTCTAACACAGTTCACAACAAAGACTTGGAGCACGTAACAATCCACGCGTGCTACATCCTTCCCGATTCATACAGAAACATACTGCTGCACGTCCACGCCTCAACTCCACAATCGGAATGAGCAACACTATACTTGGCAACCAGGAGAGATGGACTTTATCACGAAGACCTACCTTCGATGTGGAGATGCAATCTGTCTTCGCCGATAAGCAGTGCACAGTCTGATTGCGACTGTGGGTGATCAGCAATGAATGGGAATTTGGGAGCGAAGAATTAGCATCCACTTTATAGACTGCATTTGTGCTTTTTTCGACCGGAATAAAGAAAAGAAACAAAAGCAAAAAGGGAAAAACGGCACAATAGCAGAAAAGACTAGAACCTGCCTGGGCAATTGTTGAACACGCAGCAGTCTTGTGAAAAGCAAAATCCATGATTTCTCCGCCTGGAATAAAATGTGCATGGCCCATAGGTAGGGTGAAAACGGTGTAGTGTGGTACAGCCGGAATTGCTTTGCTGACATTGATTTGTATATAGAGAGAATTCTCAGCGAAAGTGAACACAATCCGATATAGGAGTAGATTAACGAAACAAACCTGTTTTAAAGACGCCATCTCGTTTTTGGTAGAAAATCGCACACAGTCGATACCCATAAGGCCCCCAGTCCTGATTGTGGTTGAATAGTCATGAGCTAAATAATGTGTAACAACCTTTCATTAACTAACTATTTACACGCAGAAAATAACAATCTATCGGCAATGCTCTACATGTGTGCGCCGTATAAGCAACGACGAATCGGGCAGTGGACATACCATAGACTTCACGCCTAGCATTGATTTATTAGTCTCCTCCTCCGTAGGCAAATGCCCATCATCAGTCGCCGAACACAACAGCAAAGACCCAAACGCTGTCCATACAGATATCCCTGATTTGGCATGGCCCTGTGGTTAGGATTGAGTGGAATCGATGATATCATATTTTTTTTGTTGGTTCAGCTTATGAGTATCACACACATGATATACATCCCTCACTACCTTAGTCATTGCTACTTAACTTGAGAGTTGCGATGTCAGTGCGTGCCATATTTGTATTTTCAAAGGTAGAAACTGTGAGAGAGTGAAGCGTGACAGTGCCATAACGAGCTGCCCACGAAAAGTGGCTCCGAGCTGCCACATACCACTGCCAGGGCATTCCAGTCAGGCGTCCAACTTAGTGCACAAGGCGACCCCGCTTTGTCCCCTATGCAAATATAAAAATAAATTGACTTAAAAAGAAACTGCCTATCCACAAAGTAAAAGGCAATAGTTCGAGCCGCTTCCCACGTCTAGAAAGGAGGGGGGTGATCACTTACAGGGTCGGTTTTGCTGCCGCAAGGAGCAAACGTGGGATAGCTTCATGCCCAGTGTCTGGCCGGTCACTCGGAAGACTTTAACATCACTGAAAAATATAAATCAGGCAGAGTTGGGGTCAGTTGTATGGTCTGTTCGCCGTGAGATCGTTCCAGGATCCTTCCAGATGCGCAACCTTCAAAACTAAACCTCAAAGACATACCGGTGGCATGCTAAGGCGATGGTCATGTACTTGGGATTGAACGCTGCGCTACTGGCTGCGACCTTGTGCAAGTGCGTTCCCTGTCATGTGGATGAACAAGTGTAGTTGCAGCGTCAGCTATATAAGCCAAACATGAAAGGGAGCAGTCTAACAAGAAGGTGTGTACCAGTTAAACGTTCGACTACGCCGAATGCAAAATGGACAAGTGCCGCGGTTTGGTGCAGAGTTAGTCTTCGGAAGGACGATAGTATAAATTTTGATTGGACACTTGGCGAGACAGTGATATGACTGCAGAGAAAATCAAGTTTGTTGCCTTACGCATCCGGGCGTGTACCTCGTATTCTCGCTTGGTGTCTGCATTCTTCCGCCTTTTTGCTGAATAGCAAATCACTGAGCCATCGTTCAGGACTGCGAAGAATGCGTCGAGGAATTCCGTGTGGCATATATCCACTGCCCACAGGCCAGCTGCGTCGTGAGATAAAGTGGTGTGGATTCATTTGCGGTGGTGAGCAAAAATATTGACTGCCACTCAACCGCTAAAAGTAACCAGCCTTTGTGAGGTTATGCTGTGGAAATGCAGGACACCAAAACTCAACAATGAGGCCAATACACCAAACACATCGCATAAATGTATTGGCTGACTTTCTTCCTTTAGTTGGTTTGCGGGACATACCGGCTATCGGTGTTGCATCGGAAAGCGCGATTTTAGAGAGCGTGACTGTCTCAAGCTACTCCGGGTTCCACATTGTCGTAAAATACACACGCAGGAAAAGTAAGTATTAAAATTTGAGTAGCGAGAAAGCGAAAGAAAGGCTGGCTTACGCCTAGGGACGACAACTTACTTCTCAACAAAATCATAAAGTGTGAGAGAACGAGAGAGAGAGCAGAAAACACTGGTAACTGCATTTTAAAAACCCGCACTGAACATACCAATTGCGTCTCCGCTTGCCAGTTGACAGTGTGTATCTCACCATCTGTAGTTCCAATGACTATGGATGTCTGACGAGTCCAAATGCTATAATTAATGGAACAAAATGTGGGGCAACATACCAGTTAAGCACTCCAATATGCGGTTGATATGCTCAAGAAGTTTAAACAACACCGTATCAACAGACCTTTCAGCATCGTGTTGCATCGTATGTTCATCACATAGTGATTCATGCAAGTTGCTTACCAGGATGTAGGTACGTCGACATCAAAGCCATAAGATTCCCGCAGAGTATACCCTGCACATGAACCGGGGAACATCCATTCGGATTTAGTGTTTTCATACGCTCTCGACAAAGAGAAAGCTATGGAGCGGGAGTGAATATTCCTACTGTACAACATCAAGGTGTGGCTGCAAGTATACATCTTCCCCATGATTTTTATGTACACGACTCATCGCACAAATTTTTGGCAACAAACAGTCTAAAGAGAGGAATGCATATAGGCGAAAGTAGTACCTGGAACACCAGAGGCTGCCGTGTTACCGTCATCCAGATAACTCTTGCCGTCGTTGAACTGTAGCAACCTAGCAGGACAAAGTGGTTGATGTGGGTAATCAACAGGATATTCAAATTAGGTTATATTCGTACCTAATGTTCTTGATAGATCAAATGGCGGTATATTCACTCTTGGATGTCGAATAAACATCCTTCTCAACACAAAACATGGGATTTATATGCACGCTCCTTCCATAGCCTTACGCGAAATGCACAAAGTCACTGTAGAGAAGGATAAGAAAATACGAATGGACTACTCACCTTGATCCGCTCGATGAGTGCAAGGCGGTCTCATATATCGTCAAATGGCCTTTATCAGTCTGTAGATGAATAATGAACGATGTATTGAGTCGCCTGTGTCGTCTTTTAATCTGTGCTAATAGCGACTCAATGCTTCTGAAGACCAGTGATTTCAAGACCGCGATCATGCCACAGCTGACATACCTGCGCCACGAATGACGTTGAATCCGGCTTCCAGTACACGTTGGTGAAAGATCCATATGCTTCCACGAAACTCTCAGACTTCTGAACCTTGGCCACCAGCGATCGGGGCTAAAATTAAAGACAAGTACATGTTTTGTTAGTCAGTACGCTAAGCGAGAGTATATTTGCACAATGTACAGCGCATGGGTCGTTACTCTTCTCGTGAGAACAGCTTAACCAATCATGAAGTGGGTTTACCAGAAGATAAGCGAGATTTTGAGTTTCAAACGAATTTAGTGTTAGTTAGAAAACGCTACAAATTGTCCGAATATAAAATCAAATTGCGAGTAGACTAACAATCGTATAATGACCCAGAACTGCTTCATCTGGGAACCGGGCGGGAGAAAAAGGCAACTATGCAATGTTACATTATTAGAGATGATATATAATTCCCCAGTTCACAAATATATTGTATACAAACGAATGACCACCAACAAACTGCACACACACGGATAGATTTACAACAAACATACATACATACATACATACATACAAAACACGCGCCCTCACATAAACACACAAACAAACAAACATACAAACAAACTAACAAACAAACAAACAAACAAAATACACACACACACGTATATATATACATAACATATACATATACATATATGTACATATATTCATAATATCAAACATACATACACACACATACAAACACTCACAAAC